GAAGATGAAGATGAAGATGAAGATGAAGATGAAGATGAATATGAAGATATAGGTGGAGGCGAAGAAGAGGATCTATATCTTTATATATAGTAGCAGTAGTCATCATAGGAAGTAGAGGAATAACATGAGTAAAGAATGGCAAGGAAAACCCATCCATACAGGTGGAGTCAGTCCTTCCCATCCACCTGTTATTTCGATTATTTGCAAAATTTAATAAGCCTGGCATAAGCTTTTTAACTAATATATGGTTCATCTAAGATCCAAACTCACAACAAACAAAGGTAAACGAACTTAATAAAAACTATAAATTTAATAAGGAGATTAACTAAGACATCTAAACTCACTTGTTCAGAAACAAATGTCAGCCGCCAAAATAATTCGCCTCAGGAACACTTTTGTGACACTTCACGCCCTCTCAACATAATAATCACCCACAGCTTATGCACACAATGCTTGTGTGTAATTATGTATGTATGTCTGTACATAAGTTTATTCAAATGCGCCTCATAAATTTCACCATTTCAAATTAAATTTTTGTTAAGTTTTATTATTGTTCTTGTTGCGCCCCGCTGCCGTGGCAGACGCTGATGTTTTTTTATTACTTTGCCACTTAAAATGAAATGTATTTTAATTGTTTGTTTATTTGTTGATTTGTTATTGTACTTGTGATTTAAATTGCACACGCAAATATACTTAGAACGATGGTATTTTCATAACATTGAAACAAAAAGTGTTGGGTGTTGAAAATTTAATTAGATTTTAATTACACCAATTGTATATGCGTATAAACATATACATACATTCACTTAGAAAGTGAGGAACCAATTCAGGCGATTGAGGAAAGCCGCATGCCTGTGGCATCGAAAGAGTGCTGCTTCGGCAAATAAATAAAAGAAGTGGCGTCTGAAAAAAATAAATAAATACAAATTAATAAGCACTGCAGTTTAGTTGATAGCAATAGTTTTTTGTGTGCTTTGCTGGAATTGTCAGCACAAAAAGAAAAACGAGCGCGTTAATTTGATCGCTGGCGTATCCAGCTAGTTAATAAACAAATGAGAATTATTTCACTCGTTCAACGCGCGAGTAGCCGTTTAATTTACACACAGCCATTCACTTTTATGAATAAATAAATTAATCGCTCTGAGCTTTAATTAAATTTAATTTGCAGCTCTAAGCGACGATGTGCCCCCACTAGTACGAATCGCTCTTTGCGACACTGTGATAATAAATTAAATGAGAGTTGCTGGTTTAAGCAACGAAGTGTTTATTTTAGGTAGGGAATGTTTAAGACGAGGAAGAATGTTGTTTATTTACTTCGGAAGAGGATAATTGCGATTAACTAAGTCCAAACACTTGCATTTAATACAAATACAGTCAGCGCCAAAAATATACAAACCCTGACGTTAACATTGCCAACATTTATGTGAGTTTAGATTTTGGAAATGTGGTAGCCCTTCTATAAAATTCTTTGAAAATTATCTGCTGTAAATATGTAAGATTTCCCAAATTAATATTTCAATTAACTAATTAAAGGTAAATTTGATTTAGAAAACAAATAGCAGCCCTCTTCAAAAATAGATTAGCGAAAAAGCCTTCTTAATTTTTTTCTTTTGACATCCATATAAATTTTTTTTTATTGCACTTCTCAATTAAATTAATTTTAAATTACTAAACACGTGGCAACTCTCTAAAAAACTATTTCAGAAAGCAAACTGTTTAAACTGCTAAATATATATAACTGAACTTGTAATATAAATTAATTTATGAAATCTAAATTGGTGGCAACCTTCGTTAATAATACAGTTTTGCAGCAAATCTGTCCTAAACCTCTCTTTTTTGATATCCTCATAAAAATATTTTATTTAACTTGTCAACTAGATTGCTTTTAATGTTATTATGAAACCCATTATTATTATTTTTTCATTAAACCTGTCATTTAAATCCATTTTATGTTACTAAACCGGCAGCAACTCTCTAAAACAATATTTCAGAAATAAAACTTTTTAAACCTCTAAAGTTTGATACCCATTTTTCCATACAGGGATACGTATATCATTTAAGTTCCTATTTAAATTAATTTTGATTTTCTAAACAGGTGACAATTCCCTTCAAAAATATAAACGAAACGTATGTGTATTAAAAAGTTTAAACTAACTTAAATTTATTTAATGAAACTGGTGTATTGAGCTGTTTAAGATAACTTATAAATAAGATTGATTTAAACTTTTAGTGTAGGTGGCAACCCTAGTAAAAACAATATTCTTAATAAAGCTTTCTTAAACATCTCTCGTTTGATAACCATATTAAAATAATTAATTTAAATTGTAATATAAATTGATTTATAAATTCTAAACTGGTGGCAACTTTCGATAAAAATATTTTTGAAGCAAAGCTCTCTTAAACGTCTCTTTTTTGAAGTTTCTATAAAATACTTGACTTAGCTTGTCAACTAAATTGTCTTCAAAGTTTTAAAAGGTGGCAGCACTTTTCAAAAATAGTTTGGAAAATAAGCTTGCCTTAAGTTTTTTTGATTGACACCGCTGTTGGTGTAGACAAAGATATTACTTAACTTGTCAATTAAATTGATTTTTAATTATTTAACAGATGGCAACTCCCTTAAACAATATTTGAGAAATAGAGCATTTTAAACCTCTGAAGTTTAATACCCATATCAACATACATATATACATTAGGGGTGTCAATCTTTTTGACTGTGCGCGTATAGCATAGGAGGCTTCTACATATAATTCTGAGTTTGTCAAATTGCGAAAATTTGTTTCGAAGAAAATATTCACTGTTCCGCCCTCTGGTGCAAGTTTAAAGAAAGAGATTCCTCAACCGAAAAATCGCTTATAGAATTTTTTTATAGACAATTTAAGGACTTCTTTAGAACACTACAACACTTATGAAATGAAACCTACTTTCGCAATTCGGCAAACTTCGAATTGGTTTTTGACCCATGGTTTCTTCGGAAAGTTTGCTAAGAACTACACGTAGAATCCATATGTACTATACGCGCATAGCCGCAAAATCTCCCGAATAAATTTACCCGCTCTAATGTACATAGCATATTTAATTAAATTTCCTTTTTAAATTGATTTTCTCCTTCTAAACAGGTGGCAAGCATCTTCTGAATATAAATTAAAAAATTAAACCTCAAAACCCGTTCGATTCACACCAACTTAACTTATAAATTAAATTTATTTTAACTTTTTAAGCAGGTGGCAACGTTCTTAAAAATATTTGAGAATTACCGCCTACTTAAACCTATTTTTGGTTTATAGCTATTTTAAAATATTTAATCGCACTTATAATAATAATTAATTTAGAATTTCTAAAAGGTGGCAACCCTCGATAAAATATTTAATTTAACTTCTTATGTTATGTGATTTAAAAATTTCAAACACGTGGCAACCCTCATTACAGCTATTTTAAAAATAAACCCTTTTCAAACCCCTCTCGTTTGACGCCCACATTATTGTACTATTTTAGTTAGCTTATTAATCAATTTATTTTAGCTTTGAAACAGGCGGCAACAACTTCACAAAATTACCTTTATATTTATCTTGGTTGAAACCTCACATTAATAATATTAGTAGGACTAACAGAAATCAGTACAAAAACTCCTATAGAGTAAACCAAATAAAACTTGCATGTTCCTATCAAACACCCTGTTTGAGAACGCACTCTTATCGGCTCAAACCAATGCGGTCATTATCAGTTTGCCACTAAATTCGAGAACATAAAACTCAGTTTATTGTCAACGCTGTCAACGTCAACAACTGTTCACAGCGTGCATTTTATTTCTCACTCTCTCCCTCACTGCTTTTATTTATACGCACTTCGGCATACTATCGATATGATTGCAATAAAAGTTCTAATATTCTTGAATTTATTTTATTGCTTTGCGTCAATTAATAGCCAAGCAGGCGCAAGCTCAACAGCACCAGCAGTAGATGGGGCTATTAAAATTCAATTTGTCGACGAGCAGGGAAAAATTACAGTGGAAGGCGTAAGAAATAAGAGCTGGACTGGTGATGAATACTTTGCGTTTCGTGGCATACCTTACGTGAAGCCGCCAATTGGAGAATTGAGATTTAAGGTAATGTACATATATAAATAAAATCGGAGCCAAAGAGGTAAATCTTACTCATTCGCAGGATCCGCAACCACTTGATGAGCTACCATCATTGATAAATGCACGTCAGGATGGACACGACTGTCCCTCTATCTACGCCACAAACGCATCAGAGAATTGCCTCACGCTGAATATTTATACGCCAAGTGTAAGTTTTGAATCTACTTTACCTTGGCAACCGCCCACTTAAACGATAGCCTACTTGCAGACCATTGCAACCGCCTCCTTGCCAGTTCTCCTCTTCATTCATCCGGGTGGGCTTTATATCGGATCGTCGCTGAGTACCTTAATTAGCCCCACTTATCTGCTTTCCAAACCCATGGTTGTTGTAACATTCAACTACCGTCTCGGCACACTCGGCTTCCTTCAGCTTGGCACACGCGAAATACCCGGTAATGCCGGCTTTAAAGACCAAGTACACGCGCTACGTTGGGTAGCAAAGTACATACAGCACTTTGGAGGCAACCCCAAAGACGTCACACTAATGGGTTACAGCGCTGGTGCATTGAGTGTCAGCTTGCATCTGGTATCGCCCATGTCGCAGGGTCTTTTCCACAAAGCGATCATAATGAGTGGCTCATTGCCACCACAAACGCCACTGCCGCAGCGAGCACAATTGGAACTAATGCGTAAACAAGCGCGCGCGCTGAATTGCAGCGAGGTAGTGGAGGGGGAAGCAGAGATTTTAAATTGTTTGCAGAAATTTAGCGGTAATGAAATTGCTGCCACACTACGACGCCTCTTCACATTCGGCAAGGATAATCCCATTTATATTTATCTGCCTGTGATTGAAAATGATTTTGGTCAAGCACGTTTTCTCACGGAAACGCCTATGGAGAGTTTGCAACGCGGCGCGTTTGCTAAGGTGCCTATTTTGTTGGGTTTTACGAATGGTGAATTTTGTCAATCTGCTGTGGATATCGTAAGAAATGAACGATTAAGGCATCGGTTTTATGAAGAGTTTGAACAGTTGGCACCTGAAATATTTATGTATGCAGGTCACAAAGGCAATTTGAGTGAAGCTAGCGTGACACTTAGAGATTATTACTTGCCTCGTTTTAGTGGATTGGAATCGAGCGACATAGCACGGCTGTGCGACTTCTTTTCAGATGCAATTATACGCTTCGGTGCTCAACGTTTGGCGGAGTTAGCCGCTCCACATACAAAAGTTTTTCCCTACAGCTTTGAATTCAGAGGAGAGTTTAGTAATCTGGACTATAATGTGAAACCAGGTGAGTAATTAAAGTTATTTGATTTAAATTAATTTCGGCGCTCGGTCGAGTAGTCTATGAACGGTCTGCACTTCTTTGGGTGCGTCTTCCGCCCGCAAGCATTGCCAGAAGTGCGTTTATATTGGCCATGCTGGGTTGAATGATTACAGACGGTCGCTAGTCCGGCTATAGATGGTGCAGGGAAAATAAAACTCGCGTTGAAGCTGTGCAGCTTTAGGGATTTCTCGCACCTTGTTTTTTTCACTGCTCAGTGGATTGTCTCCACAAATCACTCTCATTTCACAGTAGAACAGCGTACGCAGATGAATGCTTTGCCAGGGGTTGAGTGATCGTTAGTATCCGAACCCTGGATACCGGTCGGCATCTAGCTCGAACTAGTCTTACAGTGGGATCAGAACTAGAGGGAGCCCTTTTTCCGTTTACTCGTGCAAAAGAACTAAGTTCCATTCCTAAAAAAAAATCGTCATATGAGACAGATGATGCTGAGCAGTCATCACTACATGATCGAATCTGCACGTTGGATGTCTATCTCGCGGTCAACGCAGCCAGTGGGCCATATGCAGCTTCCTCTGACGGAGCCATTGTGCGCGTTAAAGGAGATTTAGTTAAATAAACAATGTCTGAGGACAAACGACCTCTATCTTCAATCCCCACTAGAGATCCAAAACTGCAGGACCTTTGCCCGGTGCATTGACTACATGGCTGGCGTCTGGATTAGCTCTAGACTCTAGAGTCGGGTAGCTTGGTAATTTCTCACTCCGTTAGCATTTCGTCTGAAGCTTCAGAGCTGACAGATGCCCACGCATTCGTACAAGAGAAATTAGACTCTCATTCTGGCTTACTTCAAGTTAACTCCAAGGAAAGTACCATTTTTAAGTATATCCCAAACAGTGGCAAGTGTAGAGAAGAGTCCATCCAAATTGTCGAAAATATTTCGTTGACCACTGTGACAACCTCATAAAAACCCCAGACCGGTTGATTTGCGGACAGAAAACCCCACTTTTGTCTTTTATATTAGGGCTGGCCTTTTTACATTTTTCGTCATATTTTCGGCATTTACAGTCGGGACCTAAAGTATGATTTATCGGTGTTCTTGGCAATAGGAAACACCTGTTTTGTTCCAAAGTTCATTCACCTCAAGTACGCCGTTCTAGTACTTATCCGACAGACCTCAGTTTTTATCTCCATAACGTAGCACCCTAATGTCAATGAATCAAAGCTGACCTAAAATCATTAAACTTTTGCTAAGGAAGTGTTTCGATTATTCCAGTAGAACTATTAAAAAAAAAAATTATTACCGAATGTAGGTGTCATCGAAAAATGCCAAAAGGCGACCCCTACGTTCGTCAACAAAAAAAAAACGAAATTGCCTTGCAATAATAAATTAGAGTTTTTTTTCTTTTAAGGGTATTTTTAAATGTACGTAAATTAGGGTGGTTCACATATTTTTTACCACCTTTCCGAATTGAAGCATTTCGAAAATAAGGAAGCCAGAGCTTCGAAATTTGCCATATATTTTAAATGAAGAAATTGAATTTTTTCGTAGAATTTTAACTAGTTAAAACAGTTAGTTTTTGATTAAATAAAAGTATTTTTATTCAGAAATTTTCACAACTAAAATTTCAGTAAAATTCCAAATATTTTATTTTCTCGTGTATGTATTTTTTTTGAACCACCCTAATGTATATTTTATTTTGTTTAGTTATTTGAACTATATTTTCCACCGCCTCCCAACTACTTTCGTCTCATTTTAAATTTCCATACATTTTTCATGCTTCCTTTCAGCACGCGTTGAACACATGGATGATCTGATGTATTTATTCGAAATGCCCGCCAGTTCCTTTAAACATTCCGTGTCAAATGCAGCAATGATACGACAGTACACAAAATTTATATATGATTTTGTGAAAAAGGGGTTAGTCTAAGAATTTGTGTTCGCAAACACTTTAAAAAATTAATCTGACTTTTTTCTATTAACAGCTCTCTACTTATTGGACAACTGCCGACATATCCTACCGGGTATACTAAAATTTACAGAACTTTGGAGTTCCAGCCGGGAACTTTTCTTGCCAATGATACCTATGATATGTGGAAGCGTCTGTTTTTGTATGTAGAATGATTACAAACAATTAAATATAAGAAGAAAAAATAAATAAAAATGCTGAAGTTACTTTTTACGACTGCTCGTTCAACTTTTAAAATAAAATAGTATGCATAAATTTTATTTTCCTTGAATGTATTTTTTATTTTGCTGGCTAATCAGATCGCACTCCTAAGTGTATGTAAGTTTTCAACGCGATTACGCAAACAGTCAATGACATGAATCCAGATGGCAAGCAGACGAGTAAAATATTATTATCAGCCCGGCTGATTGATTTAAAACTCAGCAGCGTTCCAGAAACGTATGCGTCATAAGCTTCATTTTATTTTGAGCAGCTTAATTGAATTCAGCGCATAGTGGGAGCAAATATATATAAATTCTTGAGGTGATTAATTAACCAAAAATACTTTGGGGATTTCAAACGGCTTAGGTTGCAATTAAAGCAAGTTAGAAATGAAATGAAATGAAAGCTAAATGAGTGGCATGAAATTAACAAAGCTTTATTAGGCGTTTTTCCATTGAGAATAAATATAAATTAATCACTGAATTTGCAAGCATTTATACAATTTATTTAGGTTAACTACTTTTTAGAGTACTTTTTGCAAGTAATTTTTCTTCTTTTTGTTTGACGCTGTAAACGCCTAAGCGATTTTGGCTGAGCCCAATAAAGCACGCCAATCGTTTCTCTACTAACGCCCATTGGAAATGCTAAGTGAAGGCAGCTAGCGGCCCTTGGACCAGTGGGAAAGGGGCGTTAGTGGAGTGGTGTTTAATGGGCATGCGAAGAGGCGTGTCGAGTCATGGGTTGACTCTTCGCGTGCTGGACATATATACGTTGGGCACATCTGAGTTTATCTTGCCCAGCTAGGAGTTTAACCTGCTGCAGTATCCAGAGCGGCGAATAAATTTGCCGTCTTCTGTTACTACAGCTTTTCGAAGTTCAGCTTTTCTTGCATTGCTGGAGCAGTGATGCAATATTCACAATTTTAACTGTAATTACAGCTTATAGCTGTTTAAATAACAAGTTATAGTTTTTGCAAGCATTTAGATTTTAATTAATACACCTAAAAACTTTTATGTAATGGCTCTTTTGAGAAAACTTAGGTCAATAATATGTTTAAAAACTTTAGTTTTCCAAAAAGCCCTTCGTTTTTTTTTTTGAAATTTATGGTTTTTTGGGAACTTGCAGCTTGTTTGAATAAAAAAAAATCTGACGACACTGTGCTGGGCGCACATTTTTTGCTGCACAGAGGCATGTGCGTATATTTGCTCCAACCATATACATAGTGATCCGAGTCAGTATTTGGTTGCGAAATAGTGCCGAGCTACCTCAGTCCGTCTTCGGGTCTTTGGTTGTAGAGCCTGAATTTTCCGACCAGTGTGACCAGGTTAGTCTTTTTGAGGCTAGATTTACCACTTAATTTTATGCCAGAGCCTTAGGAATTTAGATCTGACTTCGTGGCTTTTTTCTGACCTTTTTTTACCTAAAATATTCATAATAAAATTCGGACCGGAACTGTAAAAATAAGTACCGAAGCTTATTAAAAAGCTTTTATATTTCTTAAACTACTATTTCTCATTAAAATATTACAAGAACACTGCAAAGGTTCGTTTCTTCGAGAAAATACTTTCTTAAAATAAAGAATCTTGCCTTAAACCGTTTTTTTTTTACAATTCGATTTGTTGACGTACTACTTGTGTACTCTGATGTAGAAAATATTAAAATTGTTACATTTTTCTTTTACTAAACTAAACTTTTTTGCGCATATGTGTGTTTTGATGAGAATGATTTAAAAAGTTATTGACGGAAAATCGGTTTTACGGAACTTTAAGGAATGAATATTTTCTTTTCTTTTCTATAACTCAAATTTTCATAACGTATAACTTTTTCTAACCTTTCTTAAAAACACTTCGCTTTTTGCGATCATCTGGTCACACTGTTTCCGACAATGGCATCAAAAATCCCTTCCTTGCGCACCTTGGCATAGAAATCGTCCTATCTATGTATACATATTAGGGTGGTCCTTAAATGTAAAAAAAAATGCACAAACAAAAAGTTCAAAACTAAAATAAAACTTTAGGGTCGCTACCAGGGTTCGAAAAGATAAAAAAAAATAAATAAATAAATCGCGAAAATTCCAAAAAAAATTTACTAGAAATTTCATAAAGTCTACATATTATTGAAATATATTTAATCATATAAATTCATAAAAAAGCTCAGTTAAAGCTCCTTAAAGTAAAATTTTTTCGAATTTTTGCGATAAAAAATTAAATTTTTTCAAATCCTGGTAGTTAGCGATCCCCAATTTTTTTTTAATTTTGAAACTTACGTGCATATATTTATTTTGTACATGGAACAAAATAAAGGTGTGCCCCAAGAAGTTAATATTTTAAGGACCACGCTAATACATACGTATGTATTCTGCCTTTATGACAAATAGTAGTCTCAATATTTTTTATTTAGTCAAGGATATCTTTCTTATTGGGATTTAAAATTATTTTTCGCCATAAAATGAGGTCAAAGTTATTTTGTGCTGAGTGTGTAGTGTAACTTACTTCCGTTTCCAGATTATCGGTCCATTACTGTAGCTCCAATCATGACGACAAAGGACAATACAAATTTTAAAAAAGAAATTAACACGGACTTTTTTAGACAAGATGAAATATTTTACCGCCTAGGTTTCAATAGGACGTCTTGAAGACTTTTATTTTGATCATCGAAACGGTTTATTACCTTGGCTTTGTCTAAACCAGAGTTTTCGCTTGCGAAGCAGGGATTGTGGGTATTGAAAAAATATTTTCTTATATAGGCAAATACTGTAAACAATACTAGATCAATGTTCCTTCTGCAGATTGATGAAACGTATCGATGTCATGACATAATATGTTAACATTTACCAACATCTTAAACACAAGAAACGTCAAAATTGTGCAGAGAAAGAAGACAGCTTGCCATAAGCAAAGGATAAACATATGTATGTATGTATGTATGTATATGTACATACTTAGGTAGATAAAAACTTACTCGTATAATCTAAAATTTCCGCAAGCAACAAAGTGCGCAACACAAAGCCAAGGAAGCGGATAATGACCCAGAACACAGGCGAAAATAAAATGGAAATGGTGAAAAAAAAGTCTATACAAACTACAGCTGAGAGCAGNTGTGCCATTGGACAGACACAATCACATGTTCACCTTGAACTCGTTGTTGAACTTGTGTGCCTCCTGACGCAACGTAAGACTAGCCTTAAGTATGCGCTAAGGCGAATCAAGTTGAGTCGAGTTGAGCGTTTTTTATAGTGGCACATGTATGTACATACATACATATGTATATGTATGTGCAATAAGGTGCCACATAAATGGATGCAAGTGTATGTTTGCATACATATACATACATACATACCTTTTGGTATGGACTTTGTTTGTTTTGTGGTTGCTCTGTTTTATTTATTCACTGTTTTACTAATTGTTTTAATTTTTTTTTTTTGGCTAACCTCCATACCTCACCTTCTCTGAAGCGACAACAAAAATGTCATTGCATCTGTAAACAACATCTGTATTTCCGCTGAACTCAGGTACATAAAGGCAGACATAAAAGCATTTACACTAGGCTGATCCAAAAATGCATGTGAAAAAGTACAGACGGAATTTGTATGTTGTCACCCCCTAGGATTGTTCAATACCGCAGAAAATATACTCCTACTATTTTATTTTGAAATCAAAAAATAGTTAGAAGTCGCTCAAAGCGCTCAAAATTTTCTATGTATTTTATATGAGGGAAAAACCATTTTTCGTAGAAATGGTATAGAATTCTTGAAAATCAATATTTTTCGATCCGAAAACCCTATTTCTCTGCAGACTATTCCCAGTAATAATACGCAATTAATTATTTAACAATTTTTTCATAGTAACTATATTTTATAGGTCCGCAAAAAACCCCCAGAAAATCCCAGAAAATGCAAAGGGGGGTAAATAAAAAAATTTAGTAATAAAAAATGGTTAAATAAACAATTGTGTATTGTTATTGGGAGAGTCCTGAAGTGAATCAGAGTTTTCCGATTGAAAAATATTGATTTTCAAAAATTGTATACCATTTCTACGAAAATTTTTTTTCCCATGTAAATATTTTTTGATTAAAAAAAAAAAATTAATTGGGGTATATTCTTTCGATATAGAACAATCCTGGAGGGTGATAGCATTAAAATTCCGACTTTACTTAGTTTTGACGACCCTAATGTACACACATACATAGGAAGCTCTCGATTTCCACGTCGTACGTGCAGTGCGTAAATTTCGCAAGCTCATCTCTGCTCTTGCACCTTACACTATTTTTATGGATATTCCTACGAAGAGGAGCAAGAGCAAAAGGGGCAGTGTTGGTTGTTCCACTTTTGGCTGCATCTGACAGCAGCAAAACATATCTCACTACTGGCTGGCGAATTGTGCGGTATACATACTCGCAGGCATCAACTGCAACCGCAATCACAACCGCAACCATTGCCAACTGCTAAGGGCATTGGCAATGGCACTGTCGTGCGCTACCGGACAGACATACATACATACTACTACTCGTAGCGTTGCCGTTTTTGCTTTTCAGCTCTTGCCATAAATTTATGCAATGTGCAATGCGCAAAGGGATTTTCATTTTTTTATACCCGAGCGCACTTGTGCACAAGGGTATTATAACTTTGTTCACATAACGGTTGTTTGTAACAGGCAAAACGAATCGAGATAGATATAGACAAATGTATAC